AATTAAATAATTCAGTGGAGTCATTTATTTGTGCTATGGGAAATAAGTTTCCCCTTCGATAATGTGTTTATCGAGAGTTAATTGAGTGACACAGCGGGATGCCATGGCCAGTGCTGATGCAGCCGATCCTTGTTGCAAACTATGTCCATGTGATCTATATAGGTCAACAGAATCACAGTTTTGAAAAACCCGGCGGCATAGGATAGGGGAATACCTTTCAAATGTCAACGTATGGTATGTTAAATTTTAAATAGTATTCATTGCCTGTATATTTAGCAATCATATAGTGTAGCTTTAAATACATATGCATTTAGAATCTTAGATCTTTCATTCTCATAGACTTAAGTGTATATATGTTTATAAAGTTCATTGGCATTTGAATTAGGCGGGCGATTTATTGTTTGAAAACTTGGGTTTATTTACATGTATTAAAATTGTGTGACGGGTTTCAAAACATAATTAAAACATAGTTGGGAATAGGAATGGGTGTGGGAGGGGGTCTTAACAAGACAGGGTTAAATAATTCTTAAGAGGTGGAATAGTTAGACTTTTCCGAATTTGAGTTATGTATTACAGAATACAATGCCACGTTAAACCTATTTTCTTTTGGAAGGGAAAGGAGAGGAATTAATTATTCAATCTCAGGCTTGATTATATATTTGCTAGCAATCAAATTTTGAAATACACATTCTTCATGATAAAATATAACACTCATTTTAGTGAATGCAGTGGTTTCAATGCAGGGCGGAGATATGCAGGACAATGATGCAAACAAATTCCATGGGTCAGTTCACTAAGACTGGACAGAGGGTTGAAAAGTGCACCCCTTTAAAGAATTATTAAGAGTAAGTTTTATCACCATTAATGCTAAGAAAATGCATTAAGATTCAGTTAACATATCAACTTATAAATCATTGTTAACATATCAACTTATAAATCATTGGAAAATGTATACAGCAAAAGGAAACTGATTTAAGTACTAGTAATGCTGTGTTGTTTTCATTTAACTATTAAACATAGGCGTCGGAGCCGGGGGTGTAAGCCCCCTCCCCCTAACTTTTTTGCAAAGATAGACGTAATAGAGTTAGTGAAAATTCGGGTTTACCCCTCCCCACAACGTTTTTGTTGGTTTAGCCCCCCCCCACTATTAAAATTGCTTCCGATGCCTTTGTTAAATATGTTCATACATTAACTTATTTACATTTCTTATAATTAATTTCACATTACATTTTAGTAGCTGCTGCTTACAAGCCTTGCAAAGTTACGATTTAATGAGAGGTGGGACGAAGAGGTTTGATCCATACCTTCCTGGAGGAATTATTAAATATGATAAGGTACGTTTGAAGTTGGTTGTCAGAAATATATAGATATAATACCACCTGTAATTTTTTGTTTATTAATACAACTGTATAACAAAGCATACTTTCTTTGTGTTTTATCAGATGTTTATACACTAGTATGTGTAGTTAGTTGTCAGATGCCTTATTACATGGATATGTTTAGCTTAAAAAGAAATGTATGTAATCAAAAATTACCCAGTATGAATGGGTAATCATTTAGTCAAAGTTTTATGTCCAAATCTTTGTTTTTCAGAAGAACACAGAGAAGTCCAAGTGTATAACAGATTGATTTCTAATAGAATAAGGATGCTGTGATCTTTTCGTATTTCAAACAGTACAAATTTCATTTGAAGGAAGACTGTAATTTTATTGTGCAGGTGTTAAAAAAAACAGTGTTTAGACAACATTAATGAATGGATTTAAATTTATTAAATTATAAGACATATATTGTTTTTTATGTTGTAAAATTGATTTTTTAAATGTTAAAAACGTTTTAAGAAATGTTCTCAAAACGTTTTTAAAAATGTTTTCCAAACGTTTTTAAAAATGTTTTTAAAACATTTCAGTACAATGTTTTTGCAAAACGTTATAATAACGTTTAAAAACCCACACAAAATAACGTTGTAATAACGTTTTAGAAAATGTTTTCATAACATTTTCATAACGTTTTTATAACGTTTTAATAACGTTGTTGTGCTAACTGGGTTTATAATCACTGCAATTGTCAAACCAGTAAACGAAATGTTCAGTCACACTTCAATGGCACAAAGAGGAAGGAAAAAGAAATAAAAGATTTTGTTGTTATTAGCATAATATTAAGTCACCGAAAACTTCTGCTGCTTTTAGCTATCTCTATTGTATACAACTTAAAATTTCCCAGTTTCTTCCCAAGAAAAATAGAGAAGACCAACCAAGTACGAGACTATATAGTTTAATGGCTAGGTCTGTGAAACCAAGGATGTGGGATGGGAGGGTGGGGGTTTGCCAGCATATTCTATGCAGTAGAAAACAAAGCTAATCTACAGTTGCGTTCCCTGATAGATAAACTTGTTTATTACTTGTCAGGGTATTTTAGTTGCCCCCTCCCTAAAGCTGTTGCTTACGGGCCTGAATGTTACCCAGAAAATATAATTTTTACTTAGACTCAAATACCTCGTGATATATGACGCAGTATGGAAAATAAAATGCTTAATGGTTACAGAAGACATTTTACCTAAATTATTTGTGATTTTTCCTTAGTGCTTCTAGTTTATTTCTTATTGGCTAGGGTTAGCCAAAGTCCTATAGTATACGACCAACCCCATTCCCATACTCAACCAATCTTATGAATAGCCTTCAGTAGAGATATAGAAAATCGGAATCGGATCGGAAGGTCGTGTGTTCGAAGCACGGCCGCGACTGACCTAAGTCGATAAAAAAGAGGTAGCAAGTGATCCTTCGCCAAGCGCTCGGCACTTTGAAGTGAAAGTGGCGGGTCCTTCGGATGAGACCTTAAAAACAGAGGCCCCGTGTCACGGTAGGCGTTGGCACGATTAAGAACCCTCACTGCTCAATGGCCCTGAGTGCCGAGTAAAAGTCTTATTTTGAAGCCCTTCACCGGTATAAGGTGACGTCTCTACATCGGTGAAAAATTCTCCAACGGGACGTAAAACAACATACAATCAATCAATCAACCTTCCCTGTATAACATGCATATTAATTCCTTTACTGTAATATTGTTGCATTCAAGCATGTATATCAAGAATAATACAATAGGCAATACCATCTACAGGCACTTAGTGGGGGGGTGGCCTTCCAACTTTTTTCCAAACATAAACCTGTTACTATTGAAAATGTTTATTGAAAGACTGGTTGCCAGCCCCCTTTTTTGTTGTAGCATAGTTAAATCATGGTAATGTGGGTTTTGAAAGGAAGTTGAAACCTACCCCTCCCCCTCACAAAATAGGATATATTTTTTTTTTTGCTTGTCAAAGTTTTTTTTTTCAGGGAGTAAGTTGTAATTTTTTTTCTGTCTGCTACCCCAATACTACGTGCCAGATCTATAAACAGTGGTAGTGATCGAGCAGTTGGCTGTCGTATATATGGAATGCCATAGAACATAATGTATATCTTTATAGATAAAATTCTCTTCCTCGTTCAACAGTTCATCTTTGCAGCATATCGTTTTAATTTTTAGCACACACAAGGTAAGCAATATTTGTCGTTTCGACTAAGTGAAGGCAGAAAAAAATGCATATTGGAGAGATTCGAAAGATATCAATACATGTATCTTTAATAGTAACGAAATGAATTAAACGACATCAAAATTTATTAATTTAAAGCATTTATTAATCTTGACATTTCCAATAAATTCTGCTAACTTTCCGGGAAGATTTAGACAGAACTCAATCAAAGCGTTAATCTTTGATATTCTCATAAGCGTGGTCCGGTGCTTTGAGGAAAGGACCAACTAGAAACTGAATTCTTCAGAGAAAAGGATACCAGGAGACATTTCAATCTTTTCTACTGGGGGGAGGGGGGGTCATATCTATATGTGCCCAGAAATGAAAAAAAATTAAATAAATTAAAAAAAAAAATGAATTTAAAAAACTACCGGAGTAATTGTTCACAGAAAAATTATAGATCTTTCCACCATTAAGGATATTTTCATAGCATTTGAGTTGGAAAAAGGGAGAAAATGCAAGAAAGTAAATAAAATACAATATATTGTTGTTTTTCCCCCCAAGAAAACATATAAAGCTTGTCAGTTGCAATCAGTCGTCTCGAATCACTCTCAGGGGGAATTTCAGTGATTAACGTTGTTCAACCAAAAGATAAAACGGACGTATTTTCTTGCCATGTCTGAGCATCTTCAGATTTTTACTTTGCGTTGGATTGGATGAAATTTTGCCGGTCAAACAAACGGATTTTAAAATTAGTTACGCATGGATAATGTGAATTAATTACGTGAAACTTCGCCTTTCTCAAGATGCTCTCCGAATTTCACTCAATCCCTGACTCAATCCGATACATTGAAAATAGGTCGTTGTGAAGTCAATATATATTATTTTAGAGGAAACCTGCTCTAATTTTTCGCGTACCATTAAAATCAAACGATTATATAGGGGATGAAAATTAATAAACGATTGAAAATGCCATGTAATTTTTTTTTAATTGTTATCTATTTATTTATTTATTTTTTGTTTGTTTGTCGGCATACACAAATAAGATTACTCTTGAAATATTAGGCTACAATTAATTAACGCAAATTTAGATTTTTAGTCAGTGCAGGTTGCTGTACATATTTTTTTTCTGTATATGCACAACTTTGAGCAGGCCGAAAGGGGGGTGTCCTTTTCGATCTTGTTAAATTAGACTGAAATATTTTGTGAAAAATTGAATAAATAGAATGATTAATAAATAAGTACACGTATAAATAGATAGATAGATAAATAAATAAATAAATAAATAAATAAATAAATAAATAAATAAATATTTCGATTGATAAAAATACTAAGTATGCAAGTGATAATTTATCTTTGAGAGGGATTGTTTAGAAATAGTTGCTACATAAACATAAAATTACATTGCTGGCTCTGCGAAGCACGATTTTTTTCTTTATAAAATTTATGTCCCTTGTGTAGAATCTTTCGAGAAAGGAGGGAAATTAAGTGTCGTGTACGTCAAATATTTCAACCAATGAAATTGGAGAGGAGAATCCCGCAGAACAACAACAAAACGTCGAGAGGCATACCTGACGAAAACAATGAATGTTCGCTTTCTCTTTGTTATATAAGGAAAGGGTGGCGTGCACAGGTGATTTGGGGTGTTTATTTATATTTTACTTAGCCCGACTGATGCAAAATAGCAGTCGTTCAATCAATGTTCTGATGAACCTTTAGTGTAGCCGCTACCGAAAACATGTTGAGACAGATGGGCGATGAAAAATTAATTTCATTGAACTCATTGTATATTGATTTGCAATAGGCAAAGCAAAGGCGACACAGTTTTCTCATATGAGTATGTTCTTTATGTATTGTTATCATGCTTGTAAATTTTGGCCATGGTTTGATATTTCAAGAGGATGAAACATGTTGGAACATGTATTGTTGTGAACAGGTCCAGCACAATCTCTTGATTAAGCTATATAGCTTGAAAAAGCTATATAGCTTTATTAAGCTATTCCAAATAGCTTGATAAAGCTATTTATGTGCAGTTTTTCAGAAAAATGTTTTTTGTAAGAAATAGACAAAAAGTCGCAAGTATTTGATTATTCATATATGTACTATGGGCTATCAAAACAACAACTGAAATCAAAGATAGTTCTAACATTGCAGCATTTGAATACTTTTAAGCAAAAGATGAATTTCCATTGTTTGAGTAACTGTACACCACCTTGTGTGCGTCGAGGCATGGATAAGTATGATTGCTTCTCATTGTACTGAATTATTACTAATCAATTATCTTGTTGACCATAATTGGCCTCTTTTATAATTTCAATGAAGAAGTAACTGTATCAATTGCTTTATATAGCCCCAAAACTTTAAGAACTTTGAGTACAAAGTCTCTTAAGGAGACGTAATTTGTTGAGTGATCTTTACATGCATTATTTTCAGAGGAGTTCAAGGTTGAATATTATCACTGCACCAAGGTGCGACTATTTGTGCATTCTGAGAAAATAACTCATTTAAGAAAAAAGTGTGATAAAATAGCTAAATCAAGCTATTCTGAATAGCTTAATAAAGCTATATAGCTAAATCAAGCTATATAGCTAAATCAAGAGATTGTGCCGGACCTGGTGAACATATGATAGAGAAGTATTGATATGTTTGCATTCATGCCTAATGTGTCTCAAACACAAAATTGAAATTCAATTGAGGCCTTTCATTTGTAAATGCAGAATCTTAAAAAAAAATTCTAGTTATGATAATGGCACTTGAATTCATTTGAATATGTATCTTAGATGAAATATTGATGCAAGCTTTGTAAGTAAGTAACAACTTCAAGTCATCAAATTTATTAGTAATTAATTCTGTTATGTTTTTAAGTTAGAATTTACATATTTGACTAAGAATGGAGACCATAATAATCTTGATTTTGAAGAAAGTTAAAATAAGTTGATTTTTTCCTGCAGCAAAAATATGCCAGTTGAAAAAGGATTGAGAGCAACATCGCCTGTCCATGTTCATGTTGAAGATGACATACCAGTTCATGTTCATGTGAAGCAAAAGGGGAAAAAAGGAACAAAAAAGGTTATAAACAAATATATACCAAAATTATTTTTCTGATTATTAAATTTAATGATGTTATCATTAACTAATCCAATATATTGATTATTTTTAGACTGGTTCTGGGGTCACAAGTGTAAAGGCAGGTAAATCTGTGAGAAGTAAATCAGCGTCATCCAGACTAAAGGCTCCAGTCACAGGTCCATGGGTGCCAGCCCCAGGGCGGGCCACCAAAGGCCAGAAAGTTTCATGGCAGGTAAGAAACATGAAATTAAAGAAATTTTTGTTTATTAAATAAACAAGATAAAAGGACTTTCACACTGCATACATCTAATTGTAATGTGAATTGATGTGCTGTTCCTTTAATGGAAGTGGCATCCATGTCATTGTCCCTGCCTTGGTTGTCAAGAAAGGACAAGGAGACCCCGGTCAAGATCAAGGCCAACTCGGTTTTGTTGGAAGGTATTGCATGCTACATGTATGTGGACACTTGAAGCATAAAGCATGTAGTACTTATGATTTATGCAGTGCATGATAAACTGCACCTGTAACTTGAAAATTATAATGCATGGCCATGTTTTCTCAAGGAGGATTTAAATATTGTATTTTTATTTAGGGGAAACTTTAAACTTATTGAAAGCTTTATAAAAGCTTCTCAATATCCAAACTTTCATGACAGTTTTTTTAGGGTTTGTGAAAGAAAACAGTATGGATGCAATTTATTCATTATTGGACATTTCCATTTAAGGGCCCAACACACAGACTAGAAATCAACACTCCAAAAGATGCCTTACGAATGGATGACTTGTCTACTGATGAAGAAGAACATATCCACGGACAAATGAAAAACTATGAGAAGAAAATTGAAAATCTCATGTCAGAGATGGGCTCCTTAAAAACAGAGGTATACATTATGGGGAAAATGCTTCATAGTATTTTGGTGTTTGTACCATTTTCTTCTGTTATTGCCATTGAAATGGTAAAGTCAAGATAGTGTTTAAAAAGATGGAAGGTATTGTTTCTTTTTTCTATTGGAATATTGAATGACATCTGTTAGATATTCTTGTTTCATTTGAAATTTAGGTTGAGATACAGAACAGTCAGAGAGAACTAGAGAGAAAGGAAGAGCTGTTAGAAACAAGTCGTCATGTGATGGATGCTCAGGAAAGAGAATTAGAAGATACAAAAGATGAGCTATCAATGGCAGAGCATGAAAATAAACTCCTCAGGAAAAGCATGGAAATGCTCAGTGAAGAAGCAAACATTAATAGGTAAAGACAAAATATACAACTTTACTTAATATTTTCTGCTCAATGTTTTTGCTGTGAATATGTGTATAATTGTTTTGCAGTGTTTGTTTTGAAATTATTTAATATAAATTATTTGAATTTTGCAATAGGTGTGATGTACAGGCACTCTCCAATGAGCGAGAAAAATTAATGAAGAAATTGATTGAGGTGGAAATGGATGGACAGGCAGCAGTGAAACAGGTGAACGAGATGAGAGAAGCCTTCAGAAGATTAAGAGAGGTCAGTTGTGGAGTCTGTAATTAAAGTGATTAAAAAAAATGGTCAAAGTTTACTGCTGTTAAAGAATTGATCAAAATTATAATCTCTTGTAAAACGTTAAGTCATGTTGAAAGCAATAGGTTGTGACTGTGTATTGATGTAATAATGGCATCATCATTTCACAGTCTTATTTTGTTCAAATTTTTTGCAATCATGAGTGCATTTTAAACTGATATTAAAAAAAAATAAAATTCTATTTTTGTTTTCTTTAATAAATATCAATGAATAGGAGAACAGAATAACATCAACTGACTATAATAGAATGGTCAAACAGAAGGACAGTCTTTTAGAGAAACTAACAGACTTTGAGGCTACAAACAGAGCTCTGAGACGCTTGTTACGGGAGCAACATCAAGCTGAAACAGCAGCTGTTCGACTTGGTGAACAGAGAGACCTATTGATGAAACGGCTTAGTGAAGCAGACAGATTTAATGAGGTTTGTCCATAATTAGTAAATGCAGAATATTTAAATTTTTTCTTTGAGACTCCATACATTGTATGTCCCTCAAATTTTATAGAATGTTGTAGTAGTCAAATCCATATATTGTAATTTTCATTTCACCAGCAAATGTGCTTTTGCCAAAGGGTAAGGTTTATGTTACATTCAGAGCATGTTATTTTTTTCACTGGACATATGATTATACATGACTTAAGTTTATTTTCAGTGTTGTAATTACCCAAAAATTTGTATTTGTCATTGACGTTTTTGTTTCTATAAATATTAAGTTTCATTCTTTGAAATGAAACTGTTCTTTAAAAAAACACATCATTCTTTGAGTGTTTTCACTAATATGACAGTTTTTTTTTTGTTTTTTTGTTTTTTTGTTCAGCATTCTGATTTTTGAATGTATGTGCATGAATATTTTTTTAGGAGATCAAACCATTATATGTACACTTTGCAGTTAAGACCTAAATACTTTTGTAGCGATTGAAGATAGAGCTTCGGGATAGAGATCTGTTAATAGCAGAAATGAGGTCACAGTTGGCAGCACAGAGAGTAAGTTTTTTTTTTTGGTGATGTCATCTGATAAATTATTTTACATTTATTTTGTTTTGTAAGTGTCACCTGAAAATAGGGGCGTCCTACATGTTCTTGAGAATAAATTGAAGATGAGTTAATTCTGATTTTAATTTATTTTTGTCCCCGCAATAAATGTTTGTTGGAAGTAGTTGAAGGGGGATTTTCATGTGTTAGAGTCTGCATATATTTGAAATATGCCAGATTGATACTTTACAGATTTTGAAATAATAATAATTTAAACAAAAAAAAAGGTGAAAGCATTTTTACACATCAATATTTAGTAAATATGCTAAGTATGCTTTATCCTTGTGAGTTTGTAAAATGTCAACAAAGATCTTGATGTAATAAAAATAAATCCACTATCTACAGAAAGCTTCATTTAAGAAAGAGACAAAATTGAAAGTAAGTAATAGCATGGAGAGGGCGATAATAATGTGACACGCCACCACTCATTGACTCAGCTGAACGTTTTAATCTGTGTGTAAATGGAGCTTTCATCATTTATCATGTACCCAGAGGTACACCTGACAACAGTCCATTTAATGCTACAGATTGCTGTTGTTTTAGAATTGGAAATTGATGTATTTGGATTTTTGCATGCTAATGATTCAGTTTGAGTTCATTGGAAAGAGTACCTGTAGATTTAGTTTGGAATAGAGAACTTATCTTCTTTTGCTTCTTTTCCTTTAATCTATGCTTTGTTGTGGCAGGAGTCTAGAGAGAGAGAAGCCTGACTTTTAGTAAATCCCTTGTTTTAAGGTTTTTACTGCCTTATTGACTATGTCACTGTAAGACAACTCTTCAAAGTTTTCTTTATGTTACATCTGGAGTACTGTTGTGTCTTATTGTGCTCAATCTCCCTAAATCATCCTTTGAAATGCAAATAATACCCAATTTTAAAAGTCATGTACTGTGTAGATCTTCCAACCTTCTTCTGTCTTTAACTTTTTTTCTGAAGCCAAATATCTCACTCTGGAAAGTTGTTTTACAGTGACAAAGGCAGTATAAATACTAAATAAGTGTCTGTTTTAAACAGACTAAAAACAATGACACTTTTCCAAGATTGTTCAAGGTTTGTATGATTCAAACACCCCGTAAAAGTAATACCTGTATTTATTGTAGGATGAAAACTTAGCTCTCTCTGGTCTCCAATCTTCCATTGAAAACACTAGAGCACATTTGCAAAAACAGTTACGCACCAAAGAAGCTGATTTAAACCGTATGGCGGTACAAATTAGGGTGAGTAACTGGATGTTAGTTTAGTGGTGAATAGTGTCACTTCTTTGTGCTTGCTAATTTCTAAAATTTATCATCAGTTTAATTTTAAAGAGTGTCTAATATTTTTTTTCCATTTGCTAGAGGTGCATGTGTCTGTTTCTTTGATTAGATATTAATGGTCAAGTGTGCATATCTGTACAGGAAATCAAATTTTTTGTTTCGTTGTGTTTCAGACAATAGAAAGCACAAGAGCTCAGGACAAGATTGAAATTGAACATCTTCAGGAACTTGTAACACGCGCCAAGGAAAAGGCAGATAGAGACAAGGAGGCCCTGAAAAAAGCCACTAGGTTAGTCCTTCAAGGGTTAATCTTGTTTGATCCTCCACTTTTTAAAAGTTATTTCCCTTTACACAAGTAGGTCAAGAAAATAGCCATTTTAGATTACATGTATTTGCTTGGCCAGTATTCTGTAAAAACAGGAAAAATACTCATGGATAAAATGGGATGAAAATAATATTTCTTTAATGTGGTGATTCTTCAGATGAACAAATTCAATAAATTTCAAAGACAGAAAAAAAACATTTCTTGATATACGTTTTAGAATAATATTTGCTCTTTGGAGAGTTATGCAGTTTGTTATGAAGTTACCTCCCCCTGCCTGTATATTTCAAAAGAGTTTCAATCGGGGAAATATTTTGAGAATGGCTTAGGGCATGTTGTTGCTTGATTATTTAGAGCAAGAGTTTGCTTACATAGACAATGTTTATTCAAATTCAGATTGAGTGAAGCATTTCATGAAAGGGAAATAATTTTTGCACAGTTTTTTACTTCCATTGTTTTACCTTCCTCTTCAATCCCAGCAGAGGATTTAAAAATAACTAACAAAAATCACTTATTTTCTGATTGATTTTAGTCCTTGGTGTTGAGATATGCATGTGATTTTTAGATTTTCATCCATGACAGTAGATGCTACATGTAGATGGGGGTGTTTTTTGGACATAGAAATGCCAATTTTTCTTTCAGCAAGTCAAACTCATTAACAACTATTTGAGAATATAAATATGCTAGTAAAATTTACATCTTATGGTCAAATATAGGCACATCATACAGTACATGTACAATCAGTGACTAATGTTTTACAATATGACTTTAAAAGGCAATATGTATAAGGTAGCCCATATTTATGACTCAGAGTACAAAAGCAGCGAGCTGAAAGAAGCCAAGATGCATTGGAGAAGATGAATGTACAGCTGATGGAGCGAGAGGCACAACTTGAGGATTTACGATCCCAGCTGGAGCTTATGGGGCCTCGATATGATAAAATGGCAAAGGAGAAATCCCAGCTTCAGGCCGAAAACTCGGCACTCAAGATGTAAGTTATCACAGGGCCTGTACATGTGCAATGTAAGCTACACATGATGTGCAATCAAGTTCTTGAACTGAAAAAAAAAAAACAACAGAAAAACACAGTAACTGTTATGTCCCTGTCTTTCCCTGGTGGTGGTTGTGCACATTTACTAACATTTTACATGTCACCTTTTATAATGATGCATTTGGTCACACAGTTTTTTAATTGTAGTGAAGTTGGGAACAGGTAATTAATGAGAGTGAAGTGTTTCATTCTTTGCTACCATTTTTTGGCTAGTTTTAACTATAAATTTAATGTTATTTCAAAATGAAGGCAGTAACATGATTTGAAGTTTTGAATAATGATGTTAGTTTTGCTTATTGATAAGTGATTTCATTACAGGTTGTGTGAAACAGAAGGGTAATTGATTTAGACATGAGCGTTCTCACAAGTCACTCAAGTAACAGGACTCCCTTAGGGAGAGCTTGCATGGTTGAGTGAGAATGTCTACAGTAGAATAATGTCCAAGTCTTTGGTTCTTTTTTGTGACACTTGTAGTGACACAGTTGTGAACTAACCCTGTTTTTCTTAACCTTCAAGATACGCAGTTGTCTGTGTTAGTTCACTATGGGAGTATATCATAGATATCACTCACTCAATTTCCAAGTGTATAATGTGTATATTTTTGGTGTTTCTGAAGGAAAAAGGTCTTCATTCTAAATGTATTTCCTATAAAAATTGTATTCATTTAGATGGGTTATGCATGTATCTTTTTAATATACAGTAAATCTGTGCAGGTAGTACATAAATTAGTTTGTACACTTACATACTAGTACATATATATCTGTTTCCTTTTGAAAGATGAGAGATATTTTGAACTGATATATAAACCTCTTTTTAATTATTCAGTTACACTGAGCTTTAATCAATTAACAGGAGGATGGGTGAGCTGGAATCACTAATGGACCAAGTGGAAAACAGCTCCAAGTCCCAGCAGGAATCAGTCAGTGTACAACTCCATGAAATGCAGGCAGAAAACTCAGCTCTCAAAGTGGAAAATGAAAGACTCAAGGTAATGGATTTCACAAACAGCTTAAACAAGCTCTTTAGTGAATTTATTGCAGTATACTGTCTCATCTTTTCTGGGCTTTTAGACCTCAATACAGACTATTGAAAGAAAATTCCAGCAGGCAGATGAAGAACTGGTCCAACTTAGGGGAAATCTCAAGCAGTATGAGAACCTGGTGGAGGAATACAAAGCTCAGGTCAGCTGACTGGTCATGTGACCTTTTACTATAGGAGCACTGCTACTGACATTTTGTGTGTTGGTTGTATGCTAGATAATTTTTTTAAACACCCAAATCCATTTTCTTTTTACAAGAATTTTACCTTTTCCCTACTGATAATTTCCTTTTTTATGTACATATACATGTATAAGATTTAACTTCTGCTTAGTCAAGTCCCAGCTAACATTGTTTGAATAGATTAGACCATGTGGCCTTGTATAATATCAAGTCAAGATAACTTATTGAATACAGGCAGCAGGAAAAGGACAGGTTAACAAAACAGTTGTTGACTTGCCTCTGTCAAACTCAAATGTAAGTTCACTGTTGTCGTCTCATGTAGTCTTTGTATATTGCAGAATTAAAGAACAGCATGCCTTATTAAAGTCAGAATTGCAAAAAGATTTTATAAAATGAAATTTAGAAATTTTATTTACATTCATTGATATATTATGCATCCCTTGTCAGTTTTTCATTCTCACATTTTATAATTTCATTTGGTGACTTTAACAATTATCACTTCATTATTACACTTACCATCATTTTAATTTAAAGCACTTTACATGTATTCACGTTAGTTTTAAGTTAATATAAGGGAATTGAAGGGTACAGTGATTTGCTTTGTTGCTGTAGGCTTGTATTTGGTGCGGGGGTGTGTCAATAGGTGCTTGTGATTTCAGATGAACAAATCTCGCCAGGAAGCTGATGATACTCTGGTACAGTTGGCCGAGGAGAAAAAGAACACAGATTTTATAGCCAGGGAAAGCGAAATAGAATTAGAAAAGGTTGGGATATACTGCATGTTTATTAGCAAGGGTTAAAGTCAAAGTTTGGAAAGATATAGTTCTTTTGCTATCAAAACTTTGATTTTTTTCCTTGCACACATGTACAGTGTATGCTAGTATGATATACTCTCAGACTTTTATCTAGTTTATATGATAAAGAAGGGTGTTGGGGATATATCACTGCTTTCCATTTTGTATCATAACTATTGCATTAACACTGACAATTGATTTTGTTTGTGGTAAACATTGTCTTGCCTTAGCATGTTTTTAAATTAATGAATTCTTGAAATTGTACAGTGCTCAATTCTTTCAAATTATTGCAATTCATGTTTGTTATGTAATTTATGATAACTTGTTAACACACAAAACTACAGAAGCAATTCACAGTCAAAAATCTTCATACTAACCATCAAACAGCATCAAGATGAGAAATGATTTAAAAAAGCATATAATATGAAACAGAGAAGAGTATTTGAAGTAAATTTACATTTTTTTAAAACTTTGTCTTGATGCTGTGGATTTACCGGTATCTGTTAACTCCAGATATTTACATATCCTCCTATTCTTTCTGTTCTTAATCAGCCAAATCAAACTACAGGGCATTATTTCCCTGTATCCCAGCTCTCTAACTCTGGTTTGGGTCCAGAGCCTCAGGTAAGATCACTCAACTGCATGCTGAGTATTCACAGCAAGACTGTGACAAACTGACACAATTATAATGTTCAAATACTTTGTCCTTTGTATTCAGGAGCTTGCTTCACATTCTGGCAATTAAGAGGATACATTTAAGATTTTATGTTTATAATTTTTCTTGACATGCTCAGCTGTATAAATACTCTCATTCCTGCATGGAAATTTACATTTAATGTTTGTAAAAAATGATTTGTTATCAATAGTTTTGAGTTAAAGTGGTTTACTTATGTATTCTTAATTCAATATTGGATTACCCAACCAATATTTAAGAATACATAAGTAATATATAATTCATAAGTAAGTAACTATTGAGAGAAGTACTGATATAGTTCTATGTACACAGAATTTACCCTTTTAAATTAAAACATATTGGTTTTACTTTTCAGGTCAAAGTTCGTCTCCATCAGCGTCTCCAAGAACTTGAACCACTTCCTGACATGCTCAAGTCAACAGAACTTAAATTATTTGAGTCCCAAGAAAGAATGCTTCTGTATGAGAAAAAGAATACAGAAAATACTAAGCTGATTGCAGAACTTACAGCCAAGGTAAACAAATAATACCATATGATCTTGATTGAAACTGTCAGGTGTTTAAAGATGAAACCTTTAGAAGGGAATGTGATTTAAATGAGCATCAACTTCTATAGTTAACATGCATTAAATCCTTCCGTTAAGTTGCTAAGCTTATAAATGACTATGCTTCAACAGTTCTGTTACAGTCTGTCTGATTGGTTTACAGGTAGAGCATGTGACAGATCAGCTGGAACAGAACAGGAACAGGTGCCACGAGGCACAGGACGAAAACCGCCTCATGCAGAGCAAGATAGAATCACTAGAAAGGTGAATTTTCTTAGTGTCTGGCCCTGTTTGAAGTCTTAAAATAGGAAATTATACATGCTCCTAAACTGACTTATAAATCAAGTCTTATGTTCTTACTGATAACATAAAAATCTGTATATAACCTCTAATATTCATTATTAAATTTCTAATTTATTTATCAAGCTTCTGGATTGTGACCAAAAATATTCAAAAGAGATAATCAGGGAATTTGTATGAAGTTTCTTTCCTATGATTGAAAGTTTCATTGCATTAGGAAATGTCCAAAAAAAAGGTATTAAAGTGGGAAACACTTAAAATTGTAGGAAACTGCGTGACTCAGAAGAAGCTAACAGAGAGTTGATGGCCAGTGTGGCGAAGCGAGAGGAGGGATTACATCAAAACAATGTCAGTTCTTAATTTGGAATTAATGTGATAACTGCCTTCAAATAAAAAAAAGTAATTGTATTCATTAAAATGAATTTTCTTTTACCAACAGCTTCGCTTGGAAGAAAAGTCTCGAGAAAATGCTAGTCTTACTCGCCAGTTAGAAAATGCTTTGTCGGATATACGACGCCAAACAGAACAGACCAGAGATAAAGCACTCCAAAAGGTCAGTTGTGTAATAAGAGATTTATTGACTTGATCTGAGCAAAACCTTTTTATTTGACTCAAAAACTGAAATGCATAAAATATCATCTAATGTCACTTAGAAAGTGAATCAGTATGCCTACTGTCATTGGAATTGACCTTTACCTTCAACTTGGTAATAAAACACATGAGTCACTATGTTGACATGATGATTATTCAATAATATTTACATTTGCAAATGTTTTCTTTTATATAACACTATTGAAAGTAATGCGTATCTATATCCGTATAAACACGGGTTCCTCGTGTCATAAACGTTCAACGTAATTTCTCAGTGACGTCATAAAGGGTCGATGCGCAATCAGAGGATCAAACACGTGCCGTTGGGTTTGAAAAATAAAACGTTTCACGCGTTAAAGATTATAATCAGGCAAATATAAAATATGAATAAGTCACAAATGTAAATATAAGTAATAAAGTATCATTTTTAAGCATCTATCGGGCTATAAATACGGGTTAGTACGAGATCAAATTTACCATAAAGCCCTTTGGGCTTTATGGAATTTGATCTCGTGACCAACCCGTATTTATAGCCCGATAGATGTTTAAAAATGATACCTTATTTCTTAAATAATAAATATTTGATTAATTTATGCTGATTTTGACTTTTTACTTTTAATTCTTAAATGATTTTCACAGGATTCTTTTTTTTTCAATTCTTTGTTTCTACAATTTGTTACCATAAACCATGGCATAGTAATGTAAAATGGGCATCTGATCAATCCTGGCTGATTACCTGATAGACAGATGGATTGGTCAACAGTTCACAGATTAAAAATCAGTGGTGGTTGATTCTAGAGTATAACAAAGCAAGGAAATTTGTGTGTACAAGATGATTTTAAATAGTATTCAGCAGTTAAACCTAAAAATTGAAGCCCCCCTCCCCCCCCCCCCACCCCCCAGTTAGTTTTATTTATACTTCCACTCATATTTATTGAATATTGCTGTTTACATCGTAAGAATTTTATTGTATTACAGGAGAGAACATATCAGACTCGAATTACCGACCTGGAGTCTCAGATGAGTCAGTGTCGAGCAGAAATAGCTCGCCTGAAACGGGAAAAGGAAGAGGTAATCCATTAATCTTTGTTTAGATCTCAATTTCATTTCATAAATTATCTGCAAATTTTCTTGCTAACTACTATATCTATCAAAGATTTATTAATATATGTTATTATTATATGTATTTTTTTTTTTTTTGCAGAATGAAAGGAAGTTTAATTCAAGGTTATATGACCTCAAGGACCGTCTAGAACAATCCCACAGTACCAACCGCAGCATGCAGAATTATGTCCAGTTCCTCAAGAATTCCTATGCCAATGTATTTGGGGACAGCACGGTCTCTTACCCTTCAACCCCTCTTAACTCAGGACACCCCCAAATCTAGTATTTTCTCCCCCTATATTTTTGTAGGAATAAAAGCAATCCATCTTTTATTTAATCTTTTAAACTATGTTTTGTGTACTTTTTATGAGAATTTTTATGCCCCGCCATGAATATGGCCGGGGCATATAGTGTTTGTCATGTCCGTCTTCCGTCCTTCCGTCCTTCTGTCCTTCCGTCTGTCCTTCCGTCACACTTTGCGTTTAGCTCTGTTCAAAGCTCAGTTTCAAAGAAACTATCCAAGATATTTTTATCAAACTTCATATGCTGATAGATATTGATGAGAGCTATGCAACTGCATCAACATTTTTTGACCTTGACCTTTCCTTTGACCTTGATCTCACTTTTCTTAAATAAGTGTTTAGCTCAGTTTTAAAGATATCATTCAAGATAGTGTAATCAAACTTCATATGTTGATACATACTGATGTAAACTATTCAACTGCATCAACATTTTTTGACCTTGACCTTTCTTTTGACCTTGACCTCACTTTTCCTAAATTAGTATTTAGCTCAGTTTTAAAGATACCATTCAAGATAGTGTAATCAAACTTCATATGTTGATACATACTGATGTAAGCTATTCAACTGCATCAACATTTTTGACCTTGACCTTTCTTTTGACCTTGACCTCACTTTTCTTAAATTAGTGTCAAACTTCATATGCTGATGCATACTGATGAGAGCTATTCAACTGCATCAATATTTTTGACCTTGACCTTTCCTTTGACCTTGACCTCACTTTTCTTAAATAAGTGTTTAGCTCAGTTTTACCATTCAAGATAGTGTTATCAAACTTCATATGCTGATACATACTGATGAGAGCTATTCAACTGCAGCATCATTTTTTGACCTTGACCTTTTTCTTTGACCTTGACCTCACTTTTCTTAAATTAGTGTCAAACTGCATATGCTGATACATACTGATGAAAGCTATTCAACTGCATCAATATTTTTTGACCTTGACCTTTCCTTTGACCTTGACCTCACTTTTCTTAAATTATTTTTTAGCTCAGTTTTAAAGAAACCATTCCTAATATTTTTATCAAACTTCATATGCTAATACATACTGATGTAACATTTTCAACTGCATCAACAATTTTTGTCCTTGACCTTTCCTTTCACCTTGACCTCACTTTTCTTAAATTAGTGTCAAACTTTATATGCTGATACATACTGATGTAAGCTATTCAACTGCATCAATATTTTTTCACCTTGACCTTTCCTTTGACCTTGACCTCACTTTTCTCAATTTGTGTTAAAATGTTGTGTTACTAATATACACTCGGCGGGGCATTCATGTCCTATGGACATATTTCTAGTTAAGATATTGAAAGCGTTTTAGAAAAGGTAAAAATAATCATGCATAAATTTTCTTATCTCTATATATAAATGTATAATGTATTATACTAGCATTCAGACTGTATTTTGTAAAAGCAGTTACTTGCCTAAAGATAGTTAAATGAGGCACATGTAATGTGTTAAATTTATGTGATTATCATACCCCCTTCCCCAAACAGTTATGGGGTAGAGAGGAATCAACATGTCTGTTTGTCTGTCAGTATGTCTGCCAGAATGTCCATCCCTTTTCCTTTACTGCCTTTAACTTTTAAATGGAGTAATGAAACTCAAAAGTTGCTCATGATCTGAGAGTGAATTTAGACTGTTATTCAAAGTCATTTTTACGAAGTCAAAAAGATAACATTTTGCTCTGGTTATAACTTTGAAATGCAGAGATTTTAGAAAAAGCTACATGATTTAGAAATGTTGTGTAGTATAAGCCAAAAATGTTAATTTAGAGAGTATAGAAACTCATATTTTTAAAACATATTGCTTAAGATCACTGAATTTCAGAACTTAACCAATACACATGGTCAAGAGCACATGTTGGGGCAAAGTAATTATAACCTTACCCCTCCCCCGACTTCCAGTGTTGTGAATGTGCCCAGTATGAGGTATTAGTCCTGCTAGGGCAGCTCTAGCAAAGAACTAAGTTATTTTTAGTTACTTTATTAAGTGTCTGTGATATTTTTTTTGACTGTTTATTTAATTTTGCCGTCCATTTTACTGAAATAAGAGAAGGGTGCTTTTGAGGCATTTTATAAAGTATTCCAATTATACTACAAGGTAGTCATTTTAGACTTCATAAATTAGTACAAATTAGATCATAGCCCATTCTCATTACATAAAGATACCGAAAGACTTACAATCAAATTTCTTTTTGTTTGAAAATTTGAGCACTATTTACGGCCCAACTTTGTTTCAATAATTTGACAATTCTTTAAATGTTGTAAAATTAAAGAAGTAGCAGGTAGCTTTTGTAATCTCACAAATTGACTTGCTGACTAATAACTACTCAAACGAGAAGAGATCAGACAGCATTTTATTAAAGTGCTTCACAAACTGCCACACTCATTCATTCATACCATATTTACTGTCAGGATTAATATTTATATTGATTGTAATATACAATGTGTACTTTTTATTGTAACAAAAAAAACAGCAATAAAGTGATTCAATTCATTCCAAAGTAATGTTGTTGATTCTCTAGGTTTCTCATATCCTCCCAAAATAAATCAAGTGAAAGGGTTATATTGATTTGGACCCAATTTGACTATGTATAGCTATATGCAGTCAAACCTCCTCATCTTGAATTTGATGGGACTGAGAAAAAGACTTTAAGGTATCCATGGATTCAAGATATTGAAGTTAAAATACATGAAGATTAAGTAGTTGGAACTTGTATCAACATATGATATAGATGTTTAAGATGCTGAAGTTTAACTAATTTTAAAATGAAGCTATGTGGACATATTTTAGGGACATGATTTGACTATGTAAAGGTACATGTATAAATTCTGAATTAAGGTCAACATGACCTACTTTATAGTCATGAAACAACCCCTTCCCGACCCACATCCAACGTATTATTGATCCTAGATGTTAAATTGAGGTAAGATCCAGATACAGTTGAATTTCATGTATGTATAACCATAAACGTCCACAATGAGGTCACCAAGACCAGCTTTGAGTTGGGACCATCTCCCTCCCCCCCCCCCCCCCCCCCCCAAAAAAAAGCTTCACCTGACAAGCTTCAATGGTTGATGGTATTGCAGAGTTCAAGATGTAATTTAGACACAATTTGACTGAATAGCCGAAATGAGGTCACCATGGCATATTTTAATAGACTCTTCCTGCATGATGCATTAACTGACAAAATTTGATGGTTCCAGGATTCACATGTTGAATTATACATTTCAGACAGGATTTGACTCTGTATTGCCATAAAATTCTTAAATCAGGCCACCATGACTTTTTTTGGGGGGGGGGGGGGGGGTGTTGCAACTCACGTCCCAAGATGCATCATCGGACAAGATTTGATGGTCTTAGGCCTCCCATTAAAGCTGTAACCTAGACATGAAAAAGCCAACAACAGGGAGATAGTTGGATAGGAAAGCCCATACCATAATAAGCCTGTCTAAAGGCAGCATTTAAAATACTACTGTTTGAATCTCTTTTCTTTACTATAATTTTAAGAGTTTGTTTGCTACATACCCAGGAGCAGAGAAGATGTTTAAAGAATTATGCATTTTCACTTCATGTTCGACACAAGAACCCCTGACTCAGGAGCTATGAATTTCACAATTTGGGAAGAGACACCCTTGGCACCCTTGCTTATTATAACCATGCACTTAGCTTATCTGCTAAATACCCAGAAGCAGGGAAGAAGAAATTTAAAGAATTATTGCATTTTCACTACATGGACCCATCCTATAATGGGTCATAAATTTCACAAATTTTGAAAAGGCACTCTTGCTCATCATATCTATGCACTTAGTTTGTTTGTTAAATGTTCAGGGGGATAGAAGATTTTTGAAAATTTATGCATTTTTACTATATGATCTATAGAGCCCTGCCCTAACACCAAAATCCCTGAGACAGGGGCCATGAATTTTACAATTTTGGAAAAGCACTCGTGATCATCGATCATAACCATGCTCCACCCTAACTCCAGAATCCCTGACCCAGGGGCTATGAATTTCACAACTCTTTCTCATCATAACCATGCACTTAGTTTGTATTATAAATACCCAGGAGCAGAGAAGAAGATTTTCAAATAATTAATGCAATCTCACTAAATGACAAATAGAGCCCCTCCTAACACCAGTACCCCTGAACCTGCAGGGACCATGAAATTCACAATTTTTCTTTCTCTTCACCCACAGATGCTATATGCCAAAACTGGTTCAGAGGTTTCAGAGAAGAAGCTGAAAATGTTCAAATGTTAAGGCACAAGGAGAGTAAGGTGCACAATGAAGGGTGAAAACTAGGGATGTCAACAAATATTCGAGTACTCGACTATCGTTCCATCATACCAACTACCGACTAAATATTTTTAAATCGGTTATTCTTAAAAAATTGCTATTTAATAGTAATCTTAAATTCAAGGTAAAAAATTGGATCTACTCAGTTCATTTATTAACATATATCAGTGTTCAGTGTTCTCACAAGTAAAACTCAGGGTGAGGCTTAACCAGTATTCATTAATTGTTCAAAGGATTTTTTTGTTTGGCAAACATGCATTGGCATACTTTAAAAGATGTCAGATCCAAATTGTAAAGTTTCAACCTGCAATTCCATAAGATCTCATATAATGCAACTATCAATTAATGAAGAATAATGAAGAATAATTAAACAGCTGTTACATATTTGAAAATACAAGTAAATTGGGGACAGTTATAAGCGTAATTAATATCAATCATTTTAAAATAGTATTGATTGTTTTCAAAAAATTTCATAATTTATCGAATTGAGCCCTTTTTGTTTTTATAAGAGTTACGCTTTAATTGTTTAACAATAGCTGGTCACTGACAAGACACATTGAAATGGCTTCAGGTAGGAAATCAATAACAGGTACATGTACTAGCAGCAGGAAAAGAAAGGATAAATACGAGCATTTGATGTTCTGTATATAGATAAAATGTGCAGTAAATATTATACATTGGATACATATATTTATTACTTCGTAAATGTTAACAATTCAATAATTCGCTGTATAATCATAAATGGTAATAGTGTAGATTAAATATTGTACAGGCTAGCAGTCTGTTAAAGACAAATAGGAAAAATGACATGGAAAATTAATTTAAATTTCAACGAGTACTTGACTATTGTTCGACTAAAGCCTCTGACTATTCAACTATGCTGTCCAAGTAAAATTGACATCCCTAATGAAAACAGATTGCAATAGTCATTTGAGTGACTCGGTTCACTCTGAATAAAAATGAGACAAAAGTACTATGTATCTTATGTTAAAGACCAAGAGAGGCCAATGTTAGAGTGATTGTGCTGAGGTTATCATGTGTAAACTGTTATACATGCACAAACACTATTTTGTTTATTAGTTTGGTGATGAGAAATGGAACAAATGAGAGTGTAGATTGCACTGGTACACACAGGCACGTACATGTAAATATATCTGCTTTATGAGTTGTTCCCTTTTGGGCAGATATCTTCATCTATCAGTTTATTTTCTTTCATTACAATTGCAATTCTATGGATCCTTTACAGGGTTGATTAAACTTGGATAACCTTTAAGGCCCTTGGGCCTCTTGTTGGATTGATGACATTATGTGATGTAAAAGTCTACAATCACATTTTTGCTGGCAAAAATACATGTTTTTGCTAGCAACATTATGTGCCATCTACAGTATGTGCCATTAACATCACTGGCGATGACGTATGAAAGGCAACAATAGATACCACAACACGGTTATTAGCTCACCTGAGCTGAAAGCTCAAGTGAGCTTTTCTGATCACCCGTTGTCCGTCGTCCGTCCGTCCGTCTGTCTGTCCGTCCGTCCGTCCGTCTGTAAACTTTTCACATTTTCAACTTCTTCTCAAGAACCACTGGGCCAATTTTAACCAAAGTTGGTACAAAGTATCCTTGGGTGAAGGGGAGTTTAAATTGTTAAAATAAAGGGCCAAGTCCCCTTACAAGGGGAGATAATCAAGAAAAGACAAAAATAGGGTGGGGTCATTAAAAAATCTTCTTCTCAAGAACCACTGGGCCAAAAAAGCTGAAACTTATGTGGAAGCATCCTGGGATAGTGTAGATTTTAAATTGTTAAAATCATGACCCCTGGGGGTAGGGCGGGGCCACAACAGGGAATCCAAGTTTTACATTGAAATATGTAAGAAAAATCTTTAAAAATCTTCTTCTCAAGAATCACTGAGCCAGAAAAGCTGAAACTTATGTGGAAGCATCCTGGGGTAGTGGAGATTCTAAATTGTTCGAATCATGACCCCCGGGGGTAGGGCGGGGCCACAATAGGGAATCCAAGTTTTACATTGAAATATATAGGAAAAATCTTTAAAAATCTTCTTCTCAAGAACCACTGGGCAAGAAAAGCTGAAACTTATGTGGAAGCATCCTGGGGTAGTGGAGATTCTAAATTCTTCAAATCATGACCCCCGGGGATAGGGCGGGGCCACAATAGGGAATCCAAGTTTAACATTGAAATATGTAAGAAAAATCTTTAAAAATCTTCTTCTCAAGAACAACTGGGCCAGAAAAACTGAAACTTATGTGGAAGCATCCTGGTATAGTGTAGATTTTAAATTGTTAAAATCATGACCCCCGGGGGTAGGGCGGGGCCACAATAAGTATTACAATGGGGAAATCTGGTAAAGAACAGCATGGCCAAAGTTACTCAGGTGAGCGATGTGGCCCATGGGCCTCTTGTTAATGTTAACTTGTACATGTATATAAATCTTATAATGACTGATTTAAAAATCAGCACTGTTGCTCTTGCATGCTGTTTCACATGTATAGTATCTGTATTACAAAGTAAACATAAAGGATTTGTCGATTTATTACTCCATTTTAAAGTACAGACACAAATAAAAAGCATGAAATTATATCTAAACATGTACATCCCTTAAAAATCTAACAAAAAAACATTGCCAACAAAGCAATACTGTTACATCAACAACACATTTTATACATACAACTTATTAAAGATGAGAAAGCAAACATGTCAACAGGGATTTGGGGACTACTGTTCTCCTCACATGTTGGGACTAATCCAAGATTTGGATAACTATTACAGATAATACTTTGAAGACTGTGGAATAAATAACAAATTCATTTTCTAAATTTCAATGTTTCTTCCACTTCTATGGTGAAAGCCTTTAAATTTTATGTGCATGTCTTCATTTTTACAAAATTTTAAGGGGTATCTCAGATTATATATAGTGACATGCAAAAGAAATACAACAAGCAGTTAACTAAAAATATTTATATTACATCTAATAATATTTCCATTTCTATTTGTTTTCTCTGTGATAACTCTTTGAAAGTTAGTTGAGTTGATTTCTTGATCATTCTACCGGAATGCAAATTTTGCCAAGCGAAAGGTCAGGAGCTAAGAAGGTCTAATATGCATGTAATTCTCGTGCGGCTGTCTTTGTGTCTCACTCTAAGGAGGCCTAATATGCATGTAATTCTCGTGCGGCTGTCTTTGTGTCTCACTCTAAGGAGGCCTAATATGCATGTAATTCTCGTGCGGCTGTCTTTGTGTCTCACTCTAAGGAGGCCTAATATGCATGTAATTCTCGTGCGGCTGTCTTTGTGTCTCACTCTAAGGAGGCCTAATATGCATGTAATTCTCGTGCAGCTATCTTTGTGTTTGACGTCAGTGGGCGGGGACTATTGAAATTGACATGTGAGGCCTCATGTAATTTAAATATATTAATCTACATTTTATTAAAATCTAAATTTACAATTTTAATTCACAATGAAATGGAAATATAACTAAAAATATTTATATTTTATCTAATAATATTTACATTTCTAATTGTTTTCTCTGGAATAACTCGTTGAAATTAGGGGAGTTAATTTCTTAATAATTACATCCGAATGTAAATTTCACCAAGTGAAAGGCCAAGAGCATAATATGCATGTCAATCTCGCGTGTCTGTCTTTGTGTCTGATGTTAGTGGGCAGGGACTATTGAAATTAACATGGGAGGCCTCATGTATTTTAAATATGTTAGACAGCATTTTTTAATTTTATATTTACAATTTTATTTCACATAAAAATGTAAATATAAGCTTCCCCCAATATGAAAATTATCCCACGTTTCCAACTATCATTGATTCCCTGGCATACCCAACAAATGATGGGTATGTACAATAATAAAATGTAGCCTTAATTACATTAAACAACTGAGAGCTGGTCAACAACCATAAATCAGGTGAAAGATAAGGAATGCAAGATAATCTAAACAAGGTATCAGTATACCTGAAAAAAATATAACGTGGTGTTACACTGGTGTATGGTCACATTGATGTATTGAAGGTGTTACTCTACACAAAAAATAATAAAATGATAAATGCTTTCAGAACATGGTACGTCAGTCTTACAAAAAATGTGGAGAATGAAAATGCCATGCTATCAAATAAAAAATTGTTTCACTAAAACATGTTACTATAAAAACACTGGGAATATGTCAAGCTTAAAAAACATAAAATCCATTAATACATGTACAAAAATGTACAAAAAGACATCAGAATGTAAATGTATTTATAACAACCTCATCATTTTCTGGTGGTGGTGGGGGGGGGGGGGGGAGTCAAAACAGAATTACTTGGAAACAAAATTTGTTTGCATTCTTTAAAGGAAAGGATACCTCAATAAGATAGACAAGAAAATTCATAAAAGCAATTTTATGCTCACATGAAATATATGTACATGTTTTCAAATATTTACACCACAAAGCCAAAATGATAATACTGTCATATCTTTTGACTTCTCAGCATTAACAGGAATGTCTACAACAAGAATTACAGATATGCTGTTAATTAAACCTCTTTGTTCTCAGATATGAAGCTTCAGTGGGTAATGATTTTTTTTTTGTTGGAATTAAATAGATGAGGATAAATAAAAGGGAAAAAAACTGAAGAGTGTAAAGAAAATGTACAAGAATGTCGGAAATCATACACATAATGAAAAAAAAGAGATACACATGTAACTGAATAATGTTGAAATTTAATGCCTCTTCCTAAATAATGAAAGGTCCATTTATATATAGAAAATGTCATTGCTCTCAAAACAAGAAAGGTTTAAAATACCATAAAAAAGAAAAATTATAAAACAACCTTAGCTTTATAACTGGCTTAGATTAAATGAATACAGAGTATTTCTTCTATTAACACAGAGGAAAATTGATATGCATGGTGTATAAAATACAATATGATTCTTTGTAAAACATTCAAATGTGAATCATGGGAGAAAACACACATATGTTAATGATTAAAAACGTACATGTACATCAAAAGTATGTACACATTTCTATTAGAAGAACTTCAAAAATATTTAAATGTACATACTTGTTCATTGTCAACACATATAACTATTAAGTAAACTGGAAAAAGAGTTTACCCAACTTATGTCAGAAAATGAAACTGTCATATAGGGTAAAGGACATTTAAACAAATTCGTCTGTTTTTGAAACAGGACATTTGCACAAAGGAATAGTGGACATTTTTTTAATGTATAAAATTTACCTGCATGACATTTAAAAAAGGACATTCACAAAATGTGAATGTTACTTAGAGAGTAAAAGGAAATACATGTACATACATCATTAAAAAGTATAATATATTTAACAAACATATATGCATGTACATTATATAATATATACATTTGAAAAAAAAAAAAGCAAATGTCCTCTAATTTTGGGCCAATGTCTTTTTAACATTCAACTTGATGTTGGTATAAAGAATTCTATTGCATAAATACAATACAAATCTACTAGGTACCAGGTAATACTATACAGTTACATTAAGGTCTAATCTTAATGAGACATATATTGTATGTTTACATATTCATGTAATGGTGAACTTTCCTGATTTTTCGACTTTGTATCCTAATTATAAAAGGCTTGTATAGGCATTGTCTTCCAACTATTCCATGTGTTAGCACAAAATAAATTAAAAATGTTGTCATGTTAAAATGTACATGTACAATGAGTGTATGAATAATGTGTCACAACATTCAGTTTAATTAACATACAACATGTATTGATAATCCTTCCACTGTCTTTACTCTTCTCCTTTTACATAACAAACAGTTATCTTAATCTTAATTTTAATTTTTCACTGTTTTGCTCAATGTACTGCAGATTTTTGAAAATTTACCTAAACTGTGTATAAAAAAAATTAACAACAGCAGGATTTACCTTTTAAATGAATCATGTGATAAAAGTTAAATGGTTGCCCCTATTTTTTTTTTTTTTCTTTTTTGTTACACTTTTTTTAAAAGAATACGAGGTACATGTTTATACTTGACTGGTACAGTTTACTTTAAAAGAATGACTTGACTTCATTTTAAGAATTTCACTAATTAATGAGCTAAACAGACTAGACCCGAGGATCAGAAGAAAGAGTTAGATGTCAAAATTAACAGCACTTGGGTTATTATAACTTATATTAATATCTAATATGGATTGTCTAACTTCTATAACATTTCAGCCCTATCTTTAGATTTGAACAAGTTTAACATGATTTATGATCCCTGGACCAGAGTCAAAACTACGTATGAAATTGTAAAATTGCACAAGACATGAACCAGTCTTAATGAAGTTGATTAAATAATATTTCTTAATTTGATATGGCTGTGTTGTAGCACCTCTCAGAAATCTGTCTTCTTCATAAGGGATTTCCATGGTAGGTAATCACATATACAAAACAAATAAACTAATGGATATGTCTAAATGATTTTGTTCTCTTTCTCAAACTTTATCAGTGGTCTCCACCCCTGCTGGATCCTCTCCTGAACTGCTCACCAATGGTTCACTCTCTGGTTGCTCCACAGGTTTACTGGTATTCACTGATTTGTCTATTTTGTTTTGGTCTTTTCCTCTTTTTCGCTCTTTATGAAGTGCCACATCTACAATATCATACAAGATCAAATTAAGCCTAGTCTGCAGTAATATGTTCAAATAATATTGGTACATGATCATGAGAAACTTTAAAAGCTTTTCATCAAGCTGAGCTTCTCGAGTTTCTCAGTTTCAAAGTCAATGGCCAGACAAGAATTTTACTTCAATCAATCTGAAGATACCAGGTGCATATGTTCAAATGGTATATCACACTTCTAAAAATTTTGAGAAAAAAAAAAACTACTGAAAACTCTAAAAAATATGTTCAGACAATATAAAACATTAGGATATGTCACTTATTAATTCTGACATACAGTGTACATGTACTTGAAATGCTCTCACTGCTGTTGCATGATGGAATCCATCATAATTTTCTACATAAAATAGCTGACACAAAACACGTCAACAGAGATCAAAGGAAAGGTTACAAATTTCTGGCATGGAATAATCCTCTAAGTACCAGTACATTGTTACATGTCTAGCAAAGTTAACTGCACATTGTCTGATGAACATACCCAGCTCCCTCTGGTTTTCAGCCAATTCTGTTGGTGGCTTTCTGAATACAGTTTTGTTCACTATTAAGTAGATAAGTAGTAGGACCAAGGATGATATTCCATATATCCTCCACGCCCAGCGGATTCCGACCACCTTATATAGCCATCCGGTCAACAATGACCCTACTCCTTTTCCTATAAACATAGCACATACGAAATTGATAACGGCATATATTGTTCATGAAAAGTTTGTGAAATGCTTTGTCTTCGTAAGGCAGCTTTGATTATGCCAAAATCTGACAACTTAGTTGTATGTATTAACTGTACTCCAAATTGTGATTGAAAGAGAAATCTGACATATGTAACATTCTAAAATTAAAAATGGAACTAAAAATGAGATAGAAACCCAGATATATGTTACTAGCTTGAATCTGCTAATGTGTATGTGAAACAAATCTCCCCTAACACACAAACAATATACAAATTACTCTTTGAATTTTATGCATAATCTTGACCTAACTAAAAGCTTATACATGAATTTTGTCTTCATCAAACATTATTTTTTGGTTTATGCACTGTACTTAAGATGTTAAAGTCAAGGTTAAATTGTGGTCAGACAAACAAACAGAGAGATCAAAACCAATAAGCCAATGATCTTCAATCTTAGTTGTAGAAGAATTTCAATTATTTATAATAATAAATACTGAAAATTAACTATTATTACCAAATCCAAAATGGATTCCTCCCAGAAGTCCCTGCACTGTGGCTGATATACCAGGAGGTGAAATGATGCTGGCATAAGATGTAGATGTTGCCCACATGATTCCAAAAGTAAATCCATGTAACAGTTCCACTGGCAAGACACCAAACACACTATCTAGGAATGAGTAAGCCAACATTCTTAGGGAATAGGCTGCAAACACCAAGTAGATACAGTTCAGGTGACCTAGTCTTTTAATAATCGCTCCCGACACAAAAAGAAGCACTGTCTCGGCAAGACATGCAATTGCAAGACAAAATCCTGGAATGACTTGAAAGTATCCAATAGTCTCTTCCTCTAAATACCAAAATAAAAAGGTCTCAATGGCTCCAGTATAAAGTCCAAAAAAGAAAACAATACCCAGGAATATGACAATTTGTGGATGCTTCATAACGCCCCATATATGTACCATCATGTTTTTGCTGGAAATGTTTCCTGAGACAGGCATTATCCACACAGATAAAATAGAGAGAACACACAGTCCACCAAAGATGTAAAACGAAACAGAAAAATCAATTTCCTCATTGCTGCTGCTGATCTCATACATAATGAAAGTAGAGGACAAAGCAAACAGCATGAAGCCAACTGTTCCAAATAGTCTCTGCTTACCCCATTTTCCACGATGGCTGTCACCTAAAATATCATAAGCAATGGCATCTCCCATGCTCAACACAGGTGCAAAGGCGATGTTTGCAAACAAGTAAATAACAAGGAATAATACAAATTTGTCTCTCATGACATGAGCATATTTGGTGACACACTGATCTGTTATACCAAGGTCACATTTTAAATGGCAATTAAATTCTGTCTCATGGTGACAAAACATATTCCAGTATCTCCGTTGTCCTACTGTCACGTTGTTCATTGCAAAATCATGACATTCAATATTTCCAACAAGCTGCCTGTCAGCAATTACTTCCCTTGTTGAACCAAGCATATCATATATCATAAACTGTAGATTTGCTGGTGAGGTCTGCTGTCCAAGACACTGATCCAGTTCTGCTTGGTCTGTGAAGCAAACTTCTCCGGGGAATGCTGTGGTTGGCTTACAAATCACAGAACAACTTAAACGGGGATAAGATTTGTCTGTTACTTGAGATGGAATGATGGAATATGCAGCTGAGGAGTTAGGCTGACCTCCATACATACTGACTTGTAGAGATGAATTTGTTGAGTGACGGGACTTGTTCACACTAAGCAGAAGATTTTCAAATCCTAACGGACACTCTGCAGATTTATTTTGAGAACAGTCATGGATGTATGAGTCATATTCATTACAAGAAATCTTGGTCTCAACAGATACATAGGAGGTAGTGTCTGAAGGAATGACAAGTATCAACATGTAAAAAACTCCAGTGAACAGGATACTTAAAATTAGGCATAATTTGTGCTTCTGAAACTTGTCTGCAATGATTCCAATGATTGGTCGTATTAAGAACCCTACAAATGGCATGATTCCATAGACTATCCCTGTTTGGGTAGAGGAGAGTCCTATCTGTTTCATGTAGAGTGGGATGAAGGGTAGGAGATCCCCAATAGCTGAAAGACACATAAAAAATTCTATAATTCATCTAATTGTCACCAAATTGCAAGATAAACAATATATTACTGCTAATATTAATGGTTTTCTTATTTTAGTGCTTGTGACAACATTTGAACAAAGTCTTCACTGGTAATTCCTGACAAGTTTGCAAAGATGTGTAAAAGGTTATGTACCTGCTGTAGTAAAGAAGTAAAAAAGCTTGATTGGTAAAAATCTCCTGTTTATATTCAGATTTTTCCATATTGTTGTATCTTCTTGATTAGCCATCTCCTGTTGTTTATCTACAAAACACTGGTCATATTACTCAATCATGCTTTGAGAAACACCTTATGATAATGTAATCAATTATTTTTTGTTTACCTTCAGTCACATTTAACCTGATCCCTGAGTGGTGTGCCTAATTTCTACACATTGGCCAGTGTGTATAGGCAAAAAAAAAAGTGATATGATCATCACAGTCAAGCAGTCAAGCATCTTGGTCAAGTAGTCTATAAGGACCGAGGCATCCAGGTCCTTATAGAGCACAGCTCTGATCACAGGCACCTGAATTTTTATCAGTAAGTAGCAAATAAAGCCTTAGAATGAGAAATCCTACTTCCTTTGTAAATAAATACATGTCACAAGGTGTGCAATTCCAGTTTGAACTTTTCCTCAATTCGGGCTTCAATTGACCATATAAATTATATATGCCTACCAGTTTGTGTGAAGCAATGGGTTTAAATATATACTAATTCTCACTATCCATTGCTTCAAAACTTTTTAATTCCTCAACATCTTTTTAATGCTATCAACTGAAATCCATGCATGTTCAAACTTTTTCACAAGAAAAGAAATAAAACTGTAGATATTATTTACAGGAAAATAATTTAATTTTGGTTGTAACACAACATTTAATAAATTAGATAAAAAAATTAGTTTATATTGTATAACCTGTGTTGCCTACGTCACAGTGACTTTTGTCAAAAACGTATCAATTCGCTTGAAGTTATATTTACAATATGTACAATTTGAAGGCATTTTTAAATGAAAAATTGTCTTATTTTCTACACCTAATGAATCAGATGGAAAATTAAATTACAAGGAATGAATTTAATAGCTACCCAAGTTATACAATATAACCTGGGTTGGAACAGTTTATGCTTTTTTATAAACTGCTTCACAGTAAAAATATATTGAATGATTTCTTTGAAATAGAGCTAATGCAATGTGTGGCAGACAGACAGTCAGAAGGACAAAAAGATAGGCATGGCAAACACAGTAAGCCCAGCCATATTCATGGCAAACATAAAAACTATTCAAACGGTTAATATGGCATGTTTTCCACTAACAGTGATGAAGTTTGAGTGATGAATATGGTTTCAAATTGTTAGTCACCAGAAAAAGATGAAATCCAGTCAAAGCGCCCCCTAACAAAACCATCCCGGTCAAAGCATCCCCTGATTTTGGTCAAAGTGTCCCCCGCGTCCCCTATTTTGGTCAAAGCGCCGCCTGATTTTGGTCAAAGCGTCACCTGATTTTGGTCAAAGCGCCCCCTAACATATTTTTATAGAAAAACGTACCCAAGCAACGGTCAAAACACCCCCTGATGTTGGTCAAAGTGCCCCTTAGATATTTTTATAGAATGTTTGTTTGCAATTTTGCCTATTTAAGGCCCCAAAAATTGGTCAAAGCGTCCCTTTATTAATTTATGCTATTTATGTCATATCCCGAAAAATCTTACGAGTGTCCTATGAAATATTTCATAGATAACATCAATTTTGAATAATCTTAAGAGAATGTTCGCCGGTATCATTTAATTACCCCCCTCCTCAAAAAAATTGATGCCGATTTCCGTTGCCCAGCTCTTGACACGTGGAGGTCTTCTCAATAAGAGCCATAATTTTGAAGAAGAAAAAAATGAAATAATTAAAAACCCAAAGATGAATTTCAGACAACTTGTGACAACAGACTTCACAATCTAAATAAAGAGTTAATTCAAACAGGAATACTGAAACCTGAAAAAATAAAGGACAGTTTCGAAACAAAATTTTTCCATAAAAATGTTAGTTGGTGCTTTGACTAAAATCAGGGGGTGCTTTGACCAAGATTTGGGATGGTTTTATAACATCAATTTCCTGTAAAATTCTATAAGGGGGCGCTTTGACCAAAATCAGGAGACATTTTGACCAAAATAAGGGGACGCTTTGACCGGGACGGTTTTGTTAGGGGGCGCTTTGACTGGCTCCCAAAAAGATCAATATTTATTGACCTCGGCTTCGCCCTAGTCAAAATTGATTTTTTCTTGGTGAATAGCAAACCAAATTCACTACCGAAAGAGTCCATAATTGTATAACATTATTAAATGTTCATCTACTTCACATTACAGATATGTTTCCTTCAATGTACGTCCAGTTGATGTCCAACATCATATATCGTATTTGTTTATCATTAACTAGTTTTGCTTACCAGGTGCAAATTTCATGTCACACTGAACTGTAGTTTTTACCTTAGTGTTAAGTTGACGTTGTATCTTCACACATCTCGAGGTCCCTATGTTTTTGCAGATATATCATTATGTGAAATAACCAAGCAAAATTCTGCACATTTAATATTTGGTCCATATCCGGCGTCATAGATTTTGATAACTCGTACAGTGAACATGATTATTATCATAATAATTTCGAGTGTCTATATAGTTTTTCTCCAATTTTGCATAAATAAAATTAATGAAAAAAGTAAACTGTTTTATATACGACTTATTTAATTATTTTTGTATAATTACGTAAATAGCCTCGGAGTCGAAATATCTTTGATCAATATAATCAATGCAAATTACACTTCCTGTTTTGAGATTGATATAACTTTCATTCTTTGAAAATGATGAAAACGATCATTTTCAACAGTTTGACATGTTTCTTTCATTTATTTTTAATTAATTTAATGATATTTTCTTCGGTTTTATGTATTGACGATTCAATCGAGTCAGAGGGCAATGATCGCTTTAAAATTGAGGGTAAGGTGACGATGACCGATGCTCGAAATTCGGACTGGATTGGAGTAACTCGTGTTCTTGTCGACGGCGGAGATTATGTGGGATATATAAGGTAACTTTATCTTTTGTGGATTTGCTGTTCATGTTCAGTCCTAATACGTTTCAGTAATTTAAAAAAAGAATTAAATTTTGTATTATACGCTGTCCAACCAGTTTACTATATCTGTATATCATGTGGAAAGCAGTAAATCTAGTACTGCTGACTCCCAACTCTTTCGGATTTCGGTTTTTGGTTGATATTCTCCACATGGCTATACAGATTCGGTTCAAACTTGTCTGGCACATTGACTTTGTTAAACTTAAGTTAACTCACATAAATATAAAAATATTAGGGTTGGATGAAACGGAACGATACCATACCGGTATTTTTAAAACGATACGGTATTTTTAATGATACGGTACTATACCTTGATGAATGAGAATGAGGGCTTATTTTATAACAAATGTGCTTTCACCAATCTTCAACCATTCAATGTTGTATTAAATCTAAAATGAGCCTATAAACTATGTTATATTTCAATCTTTTAATAAATCATCAACAAAACAAATAAACTGAATCTCAAACAAATTAATTTAACTAGATACAGCTGACCACTTCACCCAGTTGCCACTTGCCAGGACCCATCTTGTTTGGTTGCACTAAATGACGAAACATTAAAAATGGATAGAGATGCACATCACATTTTTGTGACATTTTTGCATTTTTTATTTACAATTATTATTAGTTTTTATAAATAAAATTAAAACACGATTAATGTGAATGTTTTTTATTTTTAAATATACGTATTGATTTACCTCGAATATCGGCAGTCAAAAGCAAGTATCGTACTAAGCATCCATTTCGTTAATTAGCCTACCCTTTCACATCTTCGCTAGCCAAAGGTTTCTGAAACGCTACTCTCCTCATAAACCCT